GCTCTGTGTCTCATTTGAACCATCCAATGGAAATGATTCTGTATTTTGCCTCATTTGAAAGACTCTGTGTTTCACCTCATTTGAATAACTCTGTACTTTGCCTTATTTGAATAACCCTGTATAGCGCCTCATATACATTGACCAATGGGAATAGCTCTGTATAATGCCTCATTAGAATTATCCAATAGAATCCCTGCTCCTAGCTTGCGCCTTTTTCCCTATATAAGGACCCCTTTCCCTTGGCTCGGCGCGCTTAGCCACACAGAAGCTAAGTCGCCCCGGGTACCCGCGTCTCCAATAAAGCCTCTTGTTTTTTGCATCCAGTTCGTGGCCTCGCTGATTCCTGGGTGTGGGTCTCCCTCTACGAAAGTACCTCTTCGGGGGTCTTTCATATCAGAGATGACAAGTATAACTTTTGTAAGGGTAGAACATGTGCTACATCATAAGAAAGAAACAAAACTTATCCAATGAAATTGTAATGAATAATAAACATGACTGTCATTATAATTTTAGTACCTGAAGCCATAGAAGATAAAAATATGAAAAAAATTTTGTCAAATTTTTCCCAAGATATTATTTTTTTATTAGTTCAAATTAGAAACAAGGCTGCTTCACATGTCAATCCTTCTCCCTCTCTCTCCCCTCCCCTGCAATCCGCCACCAGCCCCTCATCTTGTCCCCCTTCTGCTCCCTAGGGAAGGTAAGGCCCTCTATGGGGGTTCCCCCAAAGTCGGTCATATCATCCTGGGCAGGGCCTAGGCCCTCCCCCATGTGTCCAGGCTGAGAGTGCATCCCTCTATGTGGGATGGGCTCCCAAAGTCCCTTCTATTTTTTCACACAAAATTTTTCAAAGGCCTGAGAAACAAATCCCTGAGCCCTAAAGGGAGGTTTTGATGGAGAGATCCCATTTAGGATTGAGCATTCCAAAGTCTCTTGCTCTCTACACATTGGCCAGTTGTAGGTTTCTGTATTTGTTCCCACCAACTGCAGAGAAAGCCTCTCTGACGATGATTCTTTAGGAATCATTTCTTTTTTCTTCTTCTTCTTTTCTTTTGCCTTATTTTTTTTTTTGGCAGTCATATTTGGTTCTACCCTAAATTTCTAGGCTGTCCATTCTCTGGTGCCTGAGTATCAAGGCAGTATAGGGCATGGGGTCCCTTGTGTGGAACGGGCCCCAAGTTAAACAAAACATTGGTTAGCCCTCACACCTGTTCTCTACCACCATTGCCCCCACTAATCTTGCAGGCAGCACAGACTGTAGGTTGACGATTTTGTGGCTGGATTGGTGTCCAGGTTTTTTTTCTTTCTATAGCTTGCAGAGTACATTCTCACACAAAAGAAATTAAAACGAAGGAGTGTGCAATCCAAATTGGCATCAGCTTGATCTCTCTACATCCAACGGGCTCTGTAGATGTGGTCGGCAATGGGGTTCCATTCTCAGTTTTCAGAGAGCAACCTTCTGTCCTAGCAAAAGCCTGGGGTATTTGGAAAATTTCAAGGGACCTTCTCAGCCAACAACTCAATTGAATGCAAACCGGTCCAACTGGAAGCCTTCTCTGTCTACAAAAGATGGCCAGTTCAGACTCCATATCCTCCATTACTAGGAATCCTCAGTAGGGCCACGCTCATAGATTCCAGGAAGTTTCCACTGCACTAGGTTTCCACATCACCATCCACAAAGGTCCCTGATTCCATGATTCTACCTGTCTTTTCCCACACTCTCTCTTTCCACCCCCACCCCAATCCTTCCCATTCCTGTCCCCTCATGTTCCCAGTTCATCTGCAAAATTTATTGTAGTTTTGCTTCCCAGGGAGGTTCATGTGCCCCCCACCAAAGCTCTTCTCTCTATCTAACCTCTCTGGTTCTGTGGAGTGTAGCTTGTTTATCATTTATTCATTTATTTATTTATTTAATGGCCAATACCCACTTATAAGTGAATACATACCATATTTATATTTCTGGGTCTGAGATACCTCCCTAAAGATGAGGTTTTTTTTTCCTAGTTGCATCTATTTGCCTGCAAGTTTCATGTTATTTTTCTAACAACTGAATAATACTCCATTTTGTAAATGTACCAGATTTTATTTATTCATTCTTCTGTTGCAGGACATATAGGTTGTTTCCGTTCTCTGGATATTATAAACATGTCTATTTTTAATGCCAATATGGTGCACTCTTCATTACTATAGCTCTATATTCCAATTTGAAATCAATGATAGTGATACTTAGAGCAGATCTTTAATTGTTTAGGATTATTGTATCTATTCTAGGCTTTTTTTTTTTGAAGTTGAGAATTATCCTTACAAGTTCTGTTAAGAATTGTGTTGGCAGGCTGGGTGGTGGTGATGCACACCCTTAATACCAGCACTCAGGAGGCAGAGGCAGGAGAGTCTCTGTGAGTTTGAGACCATCCTGGTCTACAAGTGCTAGTTCCAGGACAGCCTCCACAGAGAAACCCTGTCTTG